TAGACCTAATAATGTTCTAACGTTTTTTTTTCTAGTTGAAACTTTATATTTTATGTGTCTGTTTTCTCAACTTTAACTCATTTGACCAACCTTGTAACCACATAAAATAATAGGAAATAAATTTAAACACTTTTTTTTTCTATAATGACTGCAAACTATAATGAAAAACTACAATTGTTCATCCTAAATAGCATAAAGCTCATAACAGTATACATCTTAATTTTCTTGTTTTATTGCCCTATGAACTGTGTCTATCTAATGTTCCCACCATACAAGTCATAAATCACTTGGTGAAGGTGTAGCTCATGTTACTGCATTGAATGATGTAATACGCGAGCTGCTTGCAAGCATACCTTGTGAAGAAGTTTTATTGATATTATTTTCTCATTATCTTATATAACCTTATCTAAACTAATAAGTTTCTAATTTTTACATTTTAGTTATTTTTATTATAATAAATAAAGAAAAACATGAAATATAGTACTTACTTATGATCTCTTATTTTTTGCTGTTGGTTGCTGATGAAATTTTAATCTTACTTTTTTTATACTAATGGTACTAGTACACTAAATAATTTTTATTTACTTAGATAATGCATTTAAGAACAGAGAAAAATAACACATACAAAGCAAACAATGTCCTATAATTATTATAATTTACCTCCTCTTTCTAACTGGCATAAGAGCCTTTAAAAATTCCTTAAGTTTGTTGTGCTAAATGCTACAACAGAAACTTTCAAACTCAAGAAGAAATATACAGTACTCTGTACTGAAAACAATGTAATGTAATATGTGATTAGATAGATTAAAACTTTGTCTTTGTATTGTTTATAAGTAATATGGTATAAAAGGTCAGAAGAACTATTGGCAATTTGTGAAATAGAGGATGTGATAGGTGGGTGTGGCAAGTGTATCTGATTGTCTAGTTTACGACACTGTAAACAAAGAAAATTAACGGCTATAAAAATTAGACTTCGTCTTGGTAATATCTTTATTATAATAAGTAATCTATGTTAAATTTCATACTTCTCAGAGGGATGATACATAAATTAGAGAAAAGGGAAAACCTAGAGAACAAATATCACAATTCTTAACTAGAGGAGATTGAAAATTTTTAAAACTATTTCCTTATAAAAATAATAGATTAAAACTTTTATAATATTAAAATATGATTCATTAATTATGTTTTGATGCCAAGTTTGTTCATATACATTGATAATAAAGTAGTTTAATTACATTTTGAATGTAACTCTTTAAGAGGTCTTGAGATGCACTTTGACTTACCTGTAGTGAGAGTGTTAACAAACTAAAGATAGAACCGAAAGTTATTTGTACATAACATTAGTATAAAGTCTGTAATAGACTGGCTAAAATAAATAGTTAAAAAAAAACTTTTGTAATATGGTGACCAAACTGTAAGTTAAATATTACTTTGCATTTTTCTCACTAAAAACTCATTGAACCAGTTAAAATTAAATGGTTAGGAAAAGTATCAATATTTTTTCTGATATGTCATACTTATCCTTAAAAAGGAACCTGTTTCTATTTCATGCCAACTACAAAATTGGTTATATTTAAATAAAATATGAGTTACATATAGCAATCCTTTTTTCTCTTTATCTTTATTATTCAAACTTGTTTCAGTTTAAACAGATATAAGTGAAGTACCCTTATTTCTCCACTCCTCATCTTCTTATGGTGGGTCAGTTTAAGTATAGTACTTACTATGCAAAATCTGGAATTTGATTCTCTGTTGTGGACAGAGCACAGATAGACCATTTTGTAGCTTTCCTATAAGAAGTAAACAAATCACTCCTCATCTTTGTAGTATAACTGCAAATCTATCCTTCTTTCTTATGTTATTTATATTGGTAAAGTAACCATCATTCTCCATTCCTGATATTGTATTGGTAAAGTAACCATCTTTCTCCATTCCTGATCTCTTGTCGTTAAAGTAACCATCTTTCTTCATTCCTTATTTTGCATAAGTAAAAAAAAAAATTTCTCCATATGTAACATGGGACCTGTTGGTTCATCTCGGCTGTTCCACCCTCAAAACTAATATAAAATCATTTGAAACCCAACCCTTTTTATTCATATACTAATCAAGCTTTTTCTTAAACTCACTTAAATTTACTGCCTCTACACCATCTGAAGGCAACCCATTCCAAAGGCCAACCACCATGTTAGAAAAATAAAACTGTCTTAGCTGAAGATGACTCCTACCTTACCAAAAGTTATACTTGTGTCCTCTAGTCCTGCTATTCTCATTGTTAAATATAAAAAAAAGATGATACATCAACACTATCAATTCCCTTTACAATCTTAAATGCCTCAATCAGATCCCCCCTAACTCTTCTTTTTTCAAGTGAAACCAATTTGAGAGATTTCAGCTTCTCTTCGTATGACAACCCCTCCATTCCAGGCACCATTCTCTGAACCCTTTCTAACAATTCAATGTCTTTCTTAAGGTAAGGAGCCCAAAACTGGACACAGTATTCCAAATGTGGCATAACCAGTGACCTGTTCAATGAAAGTATTACCTCTTTAAAATTGTATTCAATATTTCTATAGATACAAGCTAAAATCCTATTTGCCATACCCCTAGCAACAGCACAGTGCTTGAATGGCTTTAGAGACTGATCGACTATTACACCAAGATCCCTTTCCTTCATAACACTATTAAGGTTATTCCCCTCCAAATTAAACTTATAATTCAAATTATGATAACCCACATGCATAATCTTGCATTTATTATAATTAAAACCCATCTGCCATTTA